GGAGTTCGGCCTCGAGAGCTAGCCTTTCCTTTTTGGAGGCCTCCCTTTCTTGTTCTGCTCGCTGGGCCCATGTTAAGGTCGTCTGGAGCTCTTGGTCCTTCTCCCCGACTTCTTTGGAAAGCCTAGCGGTTGTCCTCTGAAGCTCTTTTACTTCGTCCACACGCTGTTCAAGCTCTGCCTTTTGGAAGTCAACTGTCCATATAGCGGCCTCCTTTTGGTTCAAGTATCTGTTCGTCGCCTCAAACGATTGCGTTCTTTCCGCTTCGATGGTCTCTAGGCTCTGTTTGAGCTTCGCGATCTCCTCTTTCAGATCATTTGCCCCCTTCGCGGCCTCCAACCGAGCTTTCTCCATGGACATCCTCATGGCAAGCAAAGCCTGCGAACAAGAAGTTAGAATGAAAATGGCGGACAAACTTTAAGAATAGTTCGTTTATCTCGCTTAGATGCTGGAACGACGTGGTTATCAGGTCGTCGCCTGTATCGGAGAACTCATCATATGACTCCGATAGCCCACACTCAAGCAGAGAGTAGACTATCGGCTATAGGTATTCGGGCAGGTTCCCCAGCGAATCCAGCACTGGTGTGTCCTTCGCCTTGTCAACAACGACCATCTTGTCCACATGCTCCTTGCCCGACCTCCTTCTGACGTCCCGCCGCGACCTTAGTGGCTCTTCCTCAGATTCGGTCTCTGACTCCTCGACCTGAATCTGCCTCCTCTTCTTCGACCATTGGGTCGGAGCCTTCCGCCTCGGGCGGGCAGGTGGCTGAGTGACCTCTTTTGTCCTGGTCGTTTCTTGCTCAAGACGGGATTGGGAGGGCACGACAGTTCGCACTGGTTGTGCCGCTGTAAGGCGAGCAGCTTCGGCTTCCTTTTCTTACCTTGAATGAGGGAAGTTGAATGGTGCTTGCCGGGGCTGCTTGGATTCTTTCAGAGGCATGGTCGCTGCGTGAAGGTGCGTTAGTAACTAAGCAAAAATTATTCCACGACCAGAAAGGAATCAGTGTGCAACTTACATTCTGGGGACTCTAAAGATGCCTGGTCATTGAAAAAACCATACTTCCGCAAGTTCGCGGCCTTCACGAGCTTCCTAGCATCCCGGCTTTCTTCAAGGAGAACCCCAAAAGACACGATCCTGTACGGGTCGGTGAGCAAGTTCAGGCTGGTTGTCTTGTTAACTGCAAAAGAATGCAGGTCATTAGAAAAAGCGTGCGCACAGTTAATGAATTTAGCGAAGAGGGACCTACGTGGTTTCTGAAAGCGGCAGTTGCCGTCGTAGCAGAAGAAGAAGAACTTCGTCTCATAGGCCCCGGCATTGCTGGGATAGCTATGTATCCCTTCGGCGATGGTAGATCGCCGATACAAATAATAGGAGTCTTTTTCCTTACTCCTTTTGAGGTAATACGAACAGCCGAGCTCCATCGCTGTTAGCTTGCCCAAGCCATTCTCAAGGCACGCGATGTACATCGCAACAGCGATGACATATGCGTTTGGCGTTAATTGCATTGGTGCGATCTTGAAGTGATCCAGGACCAACCTAATAAAAGGGTGGAGAGGAATCAACCCCCCACCCTTGAAGATCTCTTTGGAGATCGTAGCCAGGCCATCGGAAGGATGCCGCGACGACCGGGTGGCATCGAGAAACACCTCCGCTCGGACGCCGAACTATTTCTTTATCCTATCGAATTCTTCTTGGGTGAGAACCGAGAAAACCTCGAGGGATTCATCCACGGGAACATCCCGTTAAGACGAACCGACTCCTTCTTCGGATCTAGACGCTGAGGGTTCCATTCCGCAGTCTGTAGCACTGGCAGACAGAAGGTCATTTTAGCCATCGTACGTCACCCCGTACGACAGCTTGGGGTGAATTCCCTAAAACCTAGTAGTGACTCCAGCCACCATTCACGGCAGGAACCCGACTCCATCGTCGCGCCTCTGATGAAGCATCAGATGACGCAACGCCATTGTACCACCAAATAAAAAAAAAAAAAAGTGGGAGCAAAAACCCTTACCTTTTGGGGGACGTGACCATGAACGGTTCTTGCTTCAGGTATCGGAAAGATGTCAATCGAAAAAGAAAGGCTTCCGATTTGCAGGGAGTTTTCGTTCGAGACAAATGGGATTCTGGCGGCCTCATTTGGAAAATCTTGACTTTTATATGGACTATGAGCCGGCATTTACCGCCCCTCAGAATCGAAACGATGTTTCTCTCTCTCCGCATTAAATGCACCCCATGCCGCATTTATTGTTGTGATGAGGGTTGTCGTTTCGAGCACGTCGTGCAATTAATGCTCTGCCAAAGCAGTAACGCGTCAGCACACAATGTATTTAATGCGCCTGGCAGACGCCTGACACGCGCAGAGCACCTGTCAGTGCAGAAACGACCTCATCAGTTCTCCATCTCTAAGGCACGGTAAGGAACACCCAATGAAGTCAGGACGCTTGGGCAATGGCTGTCAGGTCGTTCGGACGAGGTTTGCACGAAGTCATGTTCGCAAAAGGTCATATCCCGAGCTTCTTTCATTTAGGTCGGAATGGTTAGGGCCTCCACTCGCGGCATGACTTAGTTTCCAAGGTTTGACCCTCAAACCTTAAAAACTAGGGGACTTCTGTTATACCTGGGAAATCAAGGGCTGACGTGGGAAATCACATGATGGGGGTGACCTATTCCCGTCAGAATAGTAAGTGCACGTCAGGCATGCAAGGCGCTGTGGAGCTCCCACTTGTCCATTTCCCTGCTCCAAATCGCGTAAAATCAGCTTGGAAGGTGGGCAATGTGACGTAAAGCCGGATTTAGTCCTGACATTCGCACCAACCCATGGATTTAATGATGGTTATCTGCACTCATCTCACTATAAAAAGGAAAGATCTTTTCATTAGAGGGATTCGCCCTTTTTTGCACTCTGAACTAGCTTTCTCTCTCTCTTATCATTGTACTTTTGTATTTACTTTTCCCTAATTATTTGTAAGTCAGTCCGCTATTGCGACCTGACCCACGATTCTAATACAAACTATCAGTGGACGTAGGATTTGCTACCTTAGCATCCGAACCACTTTAAAAAGCTCTCATTGTTGCATTTACTCTACATTTCATCCATAATCATGTGCGTCTCTTGACCAATCAACGTTACGCATGTGTCGATTAGTTGGTGTCAAAATCACGCATCAACAAGAACAAACAAATATAAAATAGGAACATGAATGAAAAACTTGAGCTACCTCCTAAGAAGCGCTTGTCGAACGTCTAAGCTAGATGGAATGTTTGGTCTATAGATCAAGGAGGCATCCTCAACTCTACATTTGATGTCTTCATTATTGTTCTATCAATGGCCTCTAAATACGCTTTTGCCTTTTCATCATTAAATTCATTGTCCTCAATAGTCAAAGCTAACCCCAATTTGTATTCTATCTTATCCTACAAAAAACTTGAAACAGTAATTGGGTCCAAAGAATCAACAAGAAAGTACTCATTAGCTTTAGAAGGTGAAGATAGAGAATTAAAAACTAAAAATTTCGAGTCTAATCAAGAACCGTCATTCTTAGTTTCCCATTTTTAACATCAATAATTGTCATTGTTACAGCCATGAATGGACACCAAGCAAGATGGTTAATTCCTTGTCGAAATTTGACGACATCTCCATATCTAACACCACAAAATCCATAGGAACAGTTTATCAAATTGAACTAAAACTTCTTCAACAATACCTCTTGGATACTTCACTGATTGATTGGCTAACTGCAAGGTCATTGTTGTAGGATTTAGTTCTTCCATTCCCAATTGCTGATACATTGAATACAGCATAGGATTAATGCTTGCACCCAAATCCAACATGGCTCGCTTTTCCTTTTTATTACCAAAAATAATGTTGATAATAAAACTCCCAAGATCCTTTAATTTGGGTAGTAATCTACTTTGTAGCACCGCACTCGTTGACTCAGAACTCAGAACTTTCTCATGAGGCTCATACTTATGCTTTCGTATATTCAGCTCCTTGAAAAACTTTGCGAAGGCAGGCAATTTCCTAGTCAAGTCAAGCAAGGGTAAGTTCACATTAATCTTAGATAAAATTTTGTAAATGTCAAAAAATTACTTATTCTGTTTGCTTTTAGTCAAGCAACTTGGAAAAAGCACAGGTGGAACATATGGTGCATCTTTTTTTTTTTTTTTTTTTTCACTCGAAATGGGTGCACTCGATTGCTTCCCCTCAGCTTTATCTCTCCGTACATGATCAAGTAGAGGCTCATTAGTTTCAAAATTAATCTCCTTGTTAATTACCTTACCACTCTGTAGTATTGTGATTGCATTTGCTTGCTAACGTTGGCTTGGTAATTTCCCAGGAACATGCCCTTGTAATGCTTCCACTATTTGTCCTATCTGAACCTCCATCTTTCTTATGGATGCATCTTGCTGTTGGAATCTCTATTTGAAGTTCTAATTTGTCTTTTGAGACAATTGAATAAAGTTATTCAGTGTTTCTTCCAATGAAAGCTTCTACTGTTGCATATTGTGATAAGAACGCCCCTGTTGCTGACTGTTTCTCCAAGAAAAATTGGGGTGATTTCTCCAGCCAAGATTGTAAGTGTTCGGAAAAGGATTATGGGGCCTTTGATTGTAACAATTCATCATGTTGGCTTTTTCCACAAATTCTGGAAAATTTTCACTAGAAGGACAAATGTTAAGAGTATGAGCAACTTTACCACAAATAGCACATACCTCTTTGGAACCGCTCTATCCTTGTCCCATCATCATGTTGCACATCATCTTCATTTGCTTGGTCAATTCAGACACTTGTATTGCCAACTTAGTGTTAGCACTTCAAAAATTCCTTTTGACTTTCCTCTTAACACTTTTTTGCTGTGAATTGGCTCCAAGCATCTCATACAACCCGTAAATCTCTTGTGTAGTTTTCTCTCCCATGGCACCACCTGCAGCATTATCGACTATGGCTTGGCAAGCCTGTGTCATCCATCATAGAAAAATTGGTTCAACAACTCTAACGGATATCTATGATGTGGACACTAAACTAAAATCAATTTAAAATGTTTCCAAGTCTCATGGAATGGTTCACCTTCAATTTGGGAGAAAGTAGCAATTTTATCACTTAGTTCAACAGTCTTTGCATGAGAGTAGAATTTACCTATGAACTTGTTGTAAACTGCATCCCAAGTGGTAAGTGAAGCTGGTGTCAAAGACATGAACCTACTGTAAGTGTTTTTGTGTTGGAGATAACTAAGAAAAGAAAGAGAGCATAATCCGAATGAAGAAAAGTGTCTTGATTTTCTTAAGTTCAAAATGAGTTTTACACTTCAACTAATAAAGCTGAACTTTTACTATTACACCAAACATGCAGACATATAATAACCTGATTTAATCTGAAGCTACTGACTTAATACCAACTAAACAACAACTATGTAACACATCCTATATAATCTGGGGCACATATCAAGCATTTACAAAATAAGCATAACTTTACAGTATTACAAATGGACCCTTGGCAGATTGCCCTTCAGTTTTACCGCCAAAACATACTTGAAAAGCACCAGTTGAACTGCTGCATTTCCAGCCAAGTATCAACCTTCAACACTCCTCCTTGATGGTTGGCTGGAAACACCAAGTCTGAATCTGAATTCTTCAAACTTGGCTTTGGAGACTGCCTTGGTCATTATGTCAGCCACTTGATGTTCACTCTTGCAATGCATTAGATTTACTTCACCATTTTGCTCAGCTTCTCTCACGGCATGGAACTTAATTTTTATGTGTTTTGTTCGTCCATGCTACACAGGATTCTTGGCCATAGCTATTACAGACTGATTGTCACACATGATAGCAGTAGCCTTGTTCTATTTCAGCTTCAAGTCATCAAGTATTTTCCTTAATTAGATGGCTTGATTCACAGCTGCAGTAGCTGATATGTACTCTACTTCAGCTGTGGATATAGCTACGGTTTCCTGCTTCCTAGAAAGCCAGCAGATAGCACCATGATTCATGAAGAATGCAAAACCTGAAGTGCTTCTCATATCATCTGTTGAACCAGCCCAATCACTGTCCGAATAACCAATCAAACTGAAGTCCTCTGATCTCTTGAACCATACCCCATAGTCAGTGCTTCCTGTTACATACCTCAGTACGCTTTTTGCTATTTTGAAGTGTGTTTCAGTTGGATTACTCATAAATCTGGATAGTAGACTGGTTGCATACATTAAATCTGGCCTAGTTGCTGTCAAATACAACAGACATCCTATTAAACTCCTATACAAACCTTCATCAACTTTCTCACCATCCTCATTCTTTGACAGCTTTAAATTTGGAACTAAAGGCAGATTTACTGGTTTGCAGTTTTCCATGCAGAACTTCTTTAAAACTTCACTTGCATATCTTCTTAGGTTCACAAAGATCCCATCCACATGTTGATCAATCTCCATTCCAAGGAAGTAAGACATTCCACCCAAATCAGTCATTTCAAACTCACTTTGCATGGATTTCTTGAATTCATCCACTTGAGTTTCATTGCTTCCAATAACTAGAAGATCATCCACATATAGAGAAATAATCATCAAGTCATCTTCAGCTTCTCTAATGTAAAGGGTGTATTCATTTGGACTCCTAACAAAATCCAAATTCAGCAAGTGGTCATTAATCCTGCTGTACCAGGCCCTTGGAGCCTGTTTTAGGCCATACAAGGCCTTCCTCAACATATACACCTTTCCCTCTTGTTGTTGGATCACATATCCTTCAGTTGTTCGATGTAGACCTCTTCATTTAACCAGCCATTCAAGAAGGCAGATCCTAGGGTCGGTGCTCTGGTGTGTGGAGAGGTTGCATGGATGGAATAGGGGTGCGGAACTGATTGGGAGGTACCTGGCCAGGCAGAAACTCTAGATCATAGAATTGACTCACCTTCTCTTTAAGAGACTGATTTTCTGCCCTGATGGATGCGTTTTCGGTCCGGATAACTTTTCTGTTTTCTGGTCTATCCACCAGCTTCCAGGTTTGGTTTTTTTCAATCATGGCCAACTCCTCCTTCATGGCACTCCTCCAGGATTTTGATTGTGCAGCCTCTAAATAACTTGTAGGTTCCATTTGAGCTAAGTTGCACCTGTCATACATATAGTAAGTGTTCTGGTTCCCCTGACAGCAATTTCTTCTTCTGATTCCTCCCCTAAGTCTTCTTCAATTTGTTTAGGTCGAACCTCACTCAGTTGAGGTTGAGTATCTACATCAGCTCTACCCTTTTCCCAGTTCTAGACTCCTCTTTCATCAACCTTAACATCCCTGGACACTACAATTTTTCTAGAGTCAGGAATATAAAGTCTGTAGGCCTTGGATTGGCTGTTGTAGCCAATAAAAATTCCTATCACAGCCTTATCCTCTAGCTTAGTCCTCTTTGCAGGTGGTACTAGGACATAGCAAAGGCTTCCAAAAATTTTCAGTTCATCCACTGCTGGTTTGATTCCAGTCCAAGCTTCAAAAGGTGTTTGGTTTTTTAAGGCTTTGGTGGGAATCCTATTAAGTAGGTAGACACTTGTGTTTGCTGCTTCTACCCAAAATGGTTTGGGAAGATTTTTCTTTGCCATTAAGCATCTTGCCATTTCCATGACTATCCTTTTTTTCCTCTCACAAACTCCATTTTGTTGTGGAGTGTATGGGCTGCTATATTCATGCCTTATTCCAGCTTCAGTGCAGATTTTTTCAAACTCTTGAGAAGTGTATTCAGTGCCATTATCACTTCTCAAGGTTTTGATTGATTTTTCTGTCAAATTCTCTACTTCTAGTTTGAATTTCCTGAATGTTCCAGACACCTCATTTTTCTGTTTTAGGAAGTAAATCCACCTCATCATAGACCAATCATCTATGAACAATATAAAGTATTTGCTCCCATTAAGTGATAAGATTTGCATGGGGCCACATACATCCGAGTGAACAAGCTGGAGTTTTTCAGAGGCTCTCCAAGCTTGGTTCACAGGGAATGGTTTCCTACTCATCTTGCCTAGTTGACACACTTTCCACACACCTCTCGGCTGCTCAACAATAGGCAGATTATGGACTAGATTTTTGGACTGCATTTCAGTCAAATTTCTGTAGTGTACATGGCCTAGTCTCTTGTGCCACATTTCAGTTTCATCCTCCCTAACATTGCATGCTGTGTGTGGTGTAGCTTTCCACATTATTGGAAAGCTTTTCCCAACCATTTTCACTCTCAAAACCTCACTACCCTCACTGTCTTGAATAATGCAGGATTTTTTTTGAAAATGCAGTGCATAATTCCTTTCCAACATTTGCTCCACACTCAAAAGACTTTGATTTATATTAGGTGCATAAAATACATTTGAGATTATCTTTGTACCTTTTGGAGTTTGGATTGCAACATCTCCCTTGCCTCTTGCTTCCACACACTCTCCATTCCCAACCTTGATCTTTGACCGATGAGAGTAATCTATGTTCACAAAGCTACTCAAATCAAGTGTCATGTGATGTGTGCACCCACTGTCAATCAGCCATGTATCATCACAAGTTTGGATCAAGCTGGATGAGGCCATAAACAACTGTTCTGTCTCCTGCACTGGTTGTTGTTCATCAGCTGTTTGAGCTTGCTGTTAGGACTGATGTCCCTTGTTTCTGCATACTCTTTCAATATGCCCAAACTGTTTGCAGGCCGTACACTGTATACCAAGTCTGAACCAGCATTTGTGCTCTGCATGTCCCTTCTTTTTGCAATGACAACAAGCTGGAAAATTTTGTATCCCACCAGCTTTGTTCCATTGGTTGTTGGACCTTTCTTTTCCTCTCCTTTCTCTAGTAGACTTTCTAAAATTCCCTTGCACAGGTTTGCCCTTGTAGGTTGCCAGCATTGCCCTTTCATTTGCATCTTCAAGCCTTAGGAGCCTTCTTTGCTCTTGTGCCTGCAGAGCATGGACCAGCTCAGTCAAAGTGATCTAAGTCAGGTCCTTTGAGTCCTCCAAGGATGAAATCTTGGCTTCAAACCTTTCCGGCAAGCTCACCATTACCTTCTCCACTATTCTACTATCTAACATCTCCACTCCAAGTAATCTGATTTTGTTGACAATGCTCATCAGCCTGTCAACATATTCTTTCACTTTCTCAGCCTCCTACATTCTTAAAGATTCAAACTCCCTTCTTAAATTCAAAACCTGCATGTTTCTTGTAGTGCTACTTCCCATGAACTCTTCTCTCAACTTGTCCCATGATTCCTTAGTAGTTTCGCATGCCATAATCCTTGTAAAAACAAGGTTTGTGACAGTTGAGTGGATATGGGATAGGGCTCTTGGAGCTCTTGATGCTTCCTCTTCATGCATTCGAATTTGGTTGAGGGTAGGATTTGGTCCCAACTGAGGGGGTTGTCTCTCTTCCTCTACATATTGCCAGAGTCCTTAGCCCCTCAGGTAAGACTTCATTTTGACTGACCAAATATGGTAGTGTTCACCGTTGAACACAGGAGGTAGAAGGGAAGCTGTTGGAGTAGTCATTTCTTCAGGAGAAAATAGGTCTGATGCAAGGTAGTTTCCTGGTGAGCTAGATGAGTTGTTTAGGGAAGAAAATGTTCAGTTTTTTTGTTGGAATCAACTTAGCTCTGATACCATGTTAGTGTTTTTGTGTTGGAGATAACTAAGAAAAGAAAGAGAGCATAATCCGAATGAAGAAAAGTGTCTTGATTTTCTTAAGTTCAAAATGAGTTTTCAACTAATAAAGCTGAACTTTTACTATTACACCAAACATGCAGACATATAATAACCTGATTTAATCTAAAGCTACTGACTTAATACCAACTAAACAACAACTATGTAACACATCCCATATAATCTGGGGCACATATCAAGCATTTACAAAATAAGCATAAGTTTACAGTATTACAAATGGACCCCTGGCAGATTGCCCTTCAGTTTTACCGCCAAAACATACTTGAAAAACACCAATTGAACTGCTGCATTTCCAGCCAAGTATCAACCTTCAACACCTACTCTTTGCTACATTCTTCAGTGTGTATGGAAAGCATCTCATCTACAATTGGTCTTCATTTAAATTCTATAAAGGAAAAATTTGCATAGTTGAGTAAAAATCACAAATGAAAGTTAAAGGATCCTTTTGTGGCTATTCCATGAAATGAAGGAAGCATCTGAAAGTGAATGTTCCTCAGCTCATAATTCCTTGCTGCGGCACTTAGGACTATGCAAGAGGGCAACGTTCCAATGGTAGGACATGCATACTCCTTCATAGGACGAGGTACATTAGCCATTTCTTCTTTAGATTTAGAACTTGATTCAAATGACTCTTCAAAATTTTCTAGTTCCCTTCTCTTCCTACCGATCAAATTCACTCTATTAAAGTAAGGAAGCACTTCTTCGTCCAAAGATTGGTGACCTTGCATTCAAGAACTCACACACCAAAGAAAATAGAAATAAAAGGTAATCCAAATAAAAAGAATAAAACAACAAAAAGTAAAGATCGAAATAACAAAATTAAAGCACACCTTATCAAAGAAATTGAATAAATTAAATAATTCCCTGACAATGGCTCTAAAAACTTGATAGACAAATTATATTCCTCGCAAGTGCACGAATCGCTATCGCAGTATAGTGCGCAAAAGCAAGGGTTGATCTCACATAAAATTGTAAGTTATCAATTAATCTAATAACATGCATCAACCAGACAAAGTAACAAAATTAGTCAACTAACTAATGATTCTAAAATAATATTAAAATAACTAAAATTAACAATTAAAAATAAGACAGTAATAAAACAATGTAGAATCAAATGGAGAAAGGTCTAAGTTTCCAATTTCACCGTAATTATCCTACTATATGCCAATAATCTAACTATTGCTTTCTCAATTCACATCCTAGGGTCCATACTCACCAAATTAAGGTATTATCGTAGGACGTTTGGGATTAACCTAGTGTTTTCAACACTAAACTAGCTAGGGCGTATAGTCTAGTCTAATTACTAAAAACCCATTAAGTCTACGAGTACCTGAAGTTCACAAACCAATTTACATCTGTTAGGGTATATGTACATACATTAACCATTCATTCACAAGAGCTATTCAAGATTAGCTAGGGTGTATAGTCTAACCTTGACCCACGCAATCAATTAATCAATTATTAAAGATGATCAAGCAATAATATCAATCAAAGATTGAATAAACAATAATGAATGAAACTAAGATTGTATTGAATTGATTAAACAAGTAACTTAGATTAGAAACATAAAGCATTCAAATTGGGCTACATTGGATACACTAGATAAGGTTTTAACTACTCATAATTATAAGAAAACAAACCTTAATCTTACCCATAAGCATTTGGATCATAAATCCACGACAAAAATCAAAGTTTTGTTCCTAGCCTATTAAAAACCCCTTCTCCAAGTTAGCCCAAATGTTTACAAAGTTTAGAATACCTAAAATACGAAATAAGTTGCCTTTTTATATTTCTTTTACAACTAAGGGCAATTTTGTAATAACTAGAAAGGCAATCAGTGTTGAAAATGCGTAATTTTGCATTCTGCTCGAATGGTGCCGCAACGCAATTTCTGACTATTTGTGCTTCGACAAAATCCGTTCCATGCCGCAACGTAGGATAAATCATGCTGTGACGCGCATTGGGTTTCTCCGATTTGTGCTGTGGTGCCATAAATATACGTTGCAACACAACTTGAATTGTGTTGATTTGTGAAGCGGCACCTTAAAATCTACGCTGCGACACAACTAGAATTGCGCTGATATGTACTGCGACGTAAGAAAACTGTGCCATGGTGCAACCTTGAAGTTCCACTTTTTCTTCTACATGTCTTAATTCATTCTCACTCTAATGAGTCCCATTGGTCCGAACATTAGTGCACATACGAATTTTCAATTTTGTACCTGAATTCTTGAAAGTACACACAAACCCGTGATTCTAGAAGATAACGAAACATGCAAGGAATTGCATACAAAATAATGCATTAAACTTTCCCTACAATCTAATCACCAAATCACTAAATATATGTGCATTTTTTACACTCATCACAAACCCATAAATTCGATACCCCATACATCAAACAACTCAACCACCATGAATGATATG